GGGTGACGTGAAGTTCAACAGGGTCCCACCAGTGCAACGAGCGCAGGGGGTTTTCTCGCAACCCACCCAAGCCATGCTGGGCCACCCATGTATGGAGCGCTAGCAAGTAGTCACTGGAATAGTTATCGGCATCCACCCTTTGCTGACTGCGTTCAGGGATCCCAGGAAGACCTCGAGGTGACTCCTCACTACGTAGCGGAGGGGGACCAGGTTGCTTTTCCCGCGCCCGGGATTTCGTGGCACAACTCATAGCTCCAGCAATCAGAACCACCTGGGGAAGGACTGCATGAATGGCACGACGAACCGAGGGCCGAGACACATCCAAGTCCTGGTCAATCTCAATGTCGATAGGCGTAACCACTTCCCATTGGCACCAAAGGAAGGCCTTAGCAAGCGGTGCATTCAACCCGCTGAACACATCAAGAAAGACTGGCTTGCGTGCTGTATCACTCACTGGCTCAACAAGGGAGAGCTCTTCCATGAACTGTTGGTAGTCAATATACACAGACATGTCATGGATCTGGCCTCGCTCCCCCCCGGCGGAAGAGCGGCCCTCATTTCAAGCCTTGCTTGGGCACTAGGCGCCGCAGAGGATGGGGTGGGAGCGCTCCCCCCACCACCCACCACTGGCCCCGGCAGGGCCCCCGCAATCCAGAGCGCGTCACGCTCGCGGTGCACTGCATGGATCACCGATCCCAGTGACGCGCCGACCGCCGTCCGGGCAGACCGCTGCCCCCGCTCCTCCACGTCCAAGTGCTGCAAGACGCCGAGGCGCTTCGAATCAGCCGTGCGGTAGACCAGGTCCTGGCACCGGGCGTAGTAGCGAAACAGGGTATCATAGGGCACCTGCACGTAGTCCAAGCTATTCGAAGCCAGGGTTTCAGGAGTCGTCGGAGGTGGATCCAAGGGCCGGCAGCCCACAATAGCCAGAGCCAGCAGGTAGGTCTCGAGCTTCATGAGGTAGGCCAACCATGTTTTGGACATGTCCTCTTCGGTGTCGTCCTCCTGTAGGTACAAGCCATCCCCCACCTTGCGACGCTTCTGGCTGTGCGTCCGCTGAAACGTCAGGGATCTGACACTCCACAGGTCCATGACCTCCAACTGCCCTCGATACAGCTGACGGCTCAGCTTGCTCAACAAGCGGTCGGAGGGGAATTGACGAGGTTCCGGCCGAAGGTGGTAGCGCTTGTAAAAGGCCTCCTTCAACGAGTCGAGTTCAGACGTAGGCAACAAGGTCTCATCCTCAGTAGGGGCTGGCGGCAGACTAGCAGCCGCATGCTCGGCGTCCAACATGGCCTTGCAGGAGTTCCACGCAAAGCAAAGGCGAGCAGCCTGCAACCGAGCGGGGTTGTCCTCCAGTGAAGGTGAAAGACTGTCCACAAAGAGTTTCTTGACCTCCTCCTCAGTCCGAGGGTAATGGCGGAACTCAGCCAATGTGCGGATGCGCAACTCGATGATCTTATCTTTGATGCGGGTGTCAAAGTTGAACTGTGCGGCCAGGGCCGTGAAGGTGTCATCAGGTGTAGACAACTGCTTAGGAGGCGCGGACGACATTTCCAACGAGTGACCGTCGAAATCGAATTGAATACTTGAAACTTGAAGACAGCTGCAACACAACAAAAGCAATTAAAATGGAACCGCAGCAAAAGAAAGCTTATGAACTCAACAGACGACCGTGGAGTCGAGCCTTTTATCAAAAACCCTCAGAAGTGTATTACTCTAACTGCGGTGCCAACTCATTGAGCTCCAAGCCCAGGCAGCGCAAAGCATCCCAACTCAGGGCGTCAGCGAGTGGCGTCACCTCATCGTGGATCAGTGTCAGGGCCGTGCGTAGGCGATGTCGCTCATCCGGGGCCAAGGCGGTACTCAACTCCCATATCTCATCACGAAGGGCCCGCACGAGAGGGATGTAGGGGGGAACTGACCCGGGCCTGACTGGCCGTGCCCCCAACAATGAGTGAAGTTCCGGCTCAGGCTGGGCGAATTCCACAGCATAGCACGAATCTGGACCAAAACCACCCCCAGACAGGGGGAATCGATAGGGGGTAGGGACTCCAGGGCTAGTCGAGCCTGCTGTCCCAAATCCCGTAACTCAACTGCCTTGCCCCGCCGCGCTTCTCCGTCCAAGGGCGCCATGGCAACAGCCGCCAACTGGATAGCCTGGGGTCGGTCCATGCTGAACGATCGAACTTGATAGAAACGAAGCTGCAACTGTGAATAACGATAACGACAAACTTGGCGCCCATGCGGTCACACATGCCCCCAGGACATGACAATGCGCCTTTTGACACAAATTCACTACGGATACAGCCTAGGCCAATGCACGTCGGTCCGGACCGGGAAGCACAGCCTGGCAAGACTTGCAAATCTGGCGATCATACCCAAGCGCCTCGTGCACCGACGTAGCACGGTGGGTATCGCCACGGAATCCCGGAGACGCCTGTCTCCAACGGCACCACGGGGCGCCTTCGCGCTCGACGTGCCATAATGACCCTGCTTTTGCTGAACATATAAAAACGACAGGGTACCTTGGGAGCTGGGGCAGGTTCCCTGCGCAGCTCGACCGAGCCCAACTAGCCGCCGCGCCTTCTCAGAACGCCTTGGCGATCGAGAGCCCTCAGCCCTTCCAATCTGGTGTACTCTTGGTCGAAGTCGGTGCGCTTGAGCCAGGCAAGGAGGATGGCCATGAGGATCGGCGCCCCATGCACTCCGGCCTGACAGTGGGCCAAAACGTTATATCCAGCTGCAAGGGTAGTGAAGGCCGCGTGTTTGACATCTTGCAGGGCCTGATCACGTTTCGCGCCCTGGTACGACACAGGACACGACAATTGAAAGCAATCCCGCTGCGCCACTCCGCCAGGACACTCTGAGGCGGTTTTCTCCATAGCAGATGCAATCAGCCCAATCTGATTGCCTCGCACCCAGCGGGGGTCTTTTGGAAGACCAGCGAGGTAGAGCGACCCGTGGCCGTCGGCTCCCCAAAAGACCAACGTCGGAGGCTCGGGTTGTCCAGTGTGTCCAGGTTGTGCCCAACGTTCACGAGCAGCGATATCGAACATCGCGTCGGAGACCTCGTTGAGCGGCCCCGCCGGCGGCGGAGGTCGAGCCTTGGCAGCAGGTGGCTGCGGCTTCTTCTTGACGGCCACAGCCGGAGTCCCCGGGCCCCTGGCAGGGGCGGGCGGAGCCTCCGCGGCCTGACTGGCCGGTACAGGCAGTACCACAGGGAGACACCTGCTCGGGCGCAGCCGGCGCCGCCGTCTTCTGTGGGAGGCGTCTCCTCTGCAGGGGAGGCTCGTCCTGCTTGGGTGCCAGTCGCGGTGACACCATAGGCTTCGGCATCGATGGAGAAGAAGAAGGTCCCGGCAACGGTGTAGCAGCTGCCCGCTTGCGCAAGGCCCGAATAATCTTCTGCCCAGCTGTACGAATAACCGCCAAAGAAGCCGGCAACAACGATTTCACCATAGGCATTCCAGGAATGTCTTCAGACGAGAGGCGGACCACCCTGGGGTTCTCAGACAGCAACTCGTCCGCAGCTACCATAGCTTCAGCCCACCGCTCCAGAGCGGATGTAGTTTTGATTTCTTCCCAAAGAACCTCGGGCGCACTGGCCAGAAACAAAGTTGCGGCAAGCCGGAGTTGATGGCCTTGTTTTTGTTTCTGTGCATCATAACGCAATGGAGTCTGTGCTGTAGAACTACCACTAGCAGCGTCCGTCCATTGGCCAATAGCCAGGCGCTCGGTGCCGGTGAGCCGCACAATACCCGCTAATGTGGGCACCACCCGTCTGAAGCTATAGGAGCTGAGGTTCTGCACATCCAAGACGCCCTCAAAATAGGGGCGAACCACTCGCTTCCAAATGGCATAGAGGTCAAGGCTGCCCAACTGCCGTGGGAGCGACCAGGAGAACCCATCCCGGGTCCCGGTCTTGCCTTTGAAGCACCAGAAAATGAGGATGGCTGTGTTCGCACCAATGAGGTAGCTCCTTTGTACGTGACAAAAACGAATAAGCCCAAACACCATGGCAGCGGCAGCCATCAGAATAGGCCAGTGAGCGTGCTTGGCGGTATACTCCAGGACCCCCAACAAATGAGCCACCATGCCGGGCTCAAGAGGGGCCGCCTGGGACTGCCCCTGTCCCAGCCGAGTACTCCGGACCGGAGCGGGCTTGGAGGCTTCACTCAAATCCAGCGGTACACGAAGGTTACGGATCATCCATCCCAGGGATGTAAAGACACGTGTAGGGCCATGGTGCTCCCGGACGAAGGTGGCCAAGGCATGGGAGTCTGGGAACTCCAAGCCTAAATGATCCATATAGCGCACCAAGTCCTTCCATGTATGGACCACGCGCTTGATGGTGGCCGCCTCAGTGCGGGCGCAGAGCTTCTCCAAGCGGGAGGACCAATTTGCCATGTACTCGTCGTGTCGGGCAGGTGGCGGTGGCATCAGCGTCACCATGATGCCCAACAAATCTCGAATAAACAAGGCAGCTGACTCCTCCTTTCGCACCGGCCGGCTGGGCTGGCTGCTTCTTTGGCTTGACAGGCCCAGCAAACGAAGACGGCTTTGGACGTGCCACCGAAGACGAAGGCGGTGAAGTAGCCGGAGTACTGGAAGGTTGTGGCGGGCGAGACTGACGAACCGTCTCTCTCGCAAAAATGTTCCGAACCAGGGCCGCCATCCCCGGTTCACTCTCACGGCGAGCGAGATCCCACCCGTCCGCCACTGCTCGGCCGGCTTCACGAAGAGCTTCCTCGTAGGAGGTGAACCAAAAGGCCAAATCGCTGGCACTCTGAACGCCCACCTGGGCACACCAGGTGTTCAGCTTCTCCTGCTCAACCGCGCGTCGAGCATTTGCATCAGCCATGGCTCGCGCCAACAAAAATCTGAGAATCAGCGACACTGATTCTTGTGGAGCGACACTCCTTTTTGGCTTGAGCCTCAAGCTGAAAAGGAGTGAGTGAACTGAATGACATCAAATAATTCCTCATCACCGACCCTGCCTACCTTGAATGAATGAATATATACATACATACATACATACATACATACATACATACATACATACATACATACATACATACATACATACCATACCATACCATACCATACCATACCATACCATACCATACCATACCATACCATACCATACCATACCATACCATACCATACCATACATATACATATCCTCGGAGCTCTTTCGCCAAGACACCAACTTCATCTCTGCTGTGAACTTCGCCCTTGGAAGTCTTCAGTTCATCTTCGCGTTCCTGCAGGATTCAAGGCCCTAAGCGACTGATTTTGCCTTTCTAAGCCTCCGGACTCCAGGCTGCGCGGCTATTCTCCATGAGCAGCCGAGAGGCTTCGAACTTTATAGAGTTTGAAGCGCCGCCTTCAAGTTCAATCTGCTTCCTTGCCGAATCGCTCACGTACAGGATTTGCATAGTCTTGACGTCAAAACTACTACACAGCAGCACATCTTGGGAAGTATGCCCAGCATGTTCAAACAAGCGGCTTGCAGGCGTCACTGATTTGGCAAATGCCTTCCTTGGACGTGGCCTCCAGAATGTCCACGATACTCATGAACTCACCAAAGAGGTGGTACCGCATCATGCCAGTGCCTCACAGCTAAAGCAGAACACTGAATACTGAAATCAAGGCAGAAAAATGCATGGAACTGACTGAGGACATCGGCCCACAATGCCCCCAACACATTCTCCATGATGCACACCTCAGGCAGCCGTTCTGCTCGAGGCAGACCATGGTCGAGCCATGGCGAGCCAGCCGTCCAAGCACGGCCCTAAGGTCACGACCAACGCGACATCGTACGTTGGCATCCTTGTAGTCATCACCTTTTGCCCGGAGACGTTGTGACCACTTCGCAGTGGCCTCCAAGCGAAGTGGAAAGGACTGCTTTTAAAAGAACAGGCTTCGTGGCACCTTAATCATTGCCAGGCCAAATTCCACCACACGGAGCGCAGAGTTGGTTTCTGTCAGGCATGTCTCTGCCATCCCAGCAATGTAAGCGTCTCCCACCTCAACTCCAATGTGGACATCATATGGCTTATGGCTTCTAAAAGCCTATAATGATGTGGAGATGTGGAACTACACGGTTTGTACAACTGCGTATCAGCTAGTTGCCAGGCCACAGTCTCCACCTTGTAGATGCCGAACTCATTGGCAAGCACATCAAACCTGGTTGGAGAAAACAGGGAGAAAGCAGTAAGCTCAAGTCAGGTCCTACGTCTGTTTCATTAAAGGAGTTTATCCCGGTGTTTGCAAACCATGCCCTGTACATGTGACGCCTTCCAAAGAGCTCCCCCATGAAGCCAACGACTTCCTGCGGCTTCCTGAATCAGACAGCATGAGTTGGAGAGCTCCCGCAGACCACGTGGATGACTCGTGACTCGGATGAATGATGATTCAAAAGCAACGCTGCAAAAGCTCACCGTCCTGCCAGAAGAGAGCTGTGTGAAGCCACAGAGGTCGGATTGCGCAATCGTGGCATGTTTGTACTCGTGGGAAGGAAGTTTCCCCGGATTTGCACCTCAGAGCTCGGAAACGACTGCCAAGGCTTCGAAGTCGCCAACTGTACACGGACTGCTCATGCCTTTCGGGAAGGCGTACATGCCACCCCATAATTATGTTCCTTTTGTTGCGGTCGATATCCAGTTGTCTGAGTGCGACCAATTGACGTAACCTTAGCTCTTCAACCGGAGAACCACAAGCAACATGGAGCAACTTGACCAAATCTTCATTGGCTCAACACGGACGATCACTGGCTAATACATGAAGCGGCCAAAACACTCTCGGAGAACCTGAGCAGGCATCAGCGTCTTCAAGACATTCTCGATCCTTGCTTGCGTCTTCCTCACCTGCACCACACACTGGAGGTATGGGAGGGTGGAGGAACTGAAATGAGCCGCGGCAACCGAGAACCTTGCAAGTCCACTGTCTGATGCATGAGGTCCAAGGCATACAAAATTAAAAAGGGTGCACTTTTAATTTGGAAATTGTTTTCATTTTTGTTCGAGGATGTTGTTCAAAAACATTGGGATAGAGCGGGTTTCTTATTAGTACCTAGCTAATTACAGCAATTTCGTGACCTTAGTCGTAGCAGAGACACAGGTGTCGTAGCTGGCCAAACAGACTAGAATCACTAGAATAGTGCAGGTTTCATATTAATTGCTAGCTGATTAGACTAATTTTGGAGCTGTCGTAGCTGGCAAAATACATTGGAATAGTGTAGGTGTCAGAGAAATTCCTACCTATCACAACAGTTTGGTGCAGTTAGCAGAGAAACAGCAAAGAGAAAGAGAACTAGCACAGGAGGCATATTTGGATGGTTAGAAGTTTTTGCACCGGGGAGTTCACCTTAAAATATTGATTTCGTGGCAGGCGCGGGTGTGGGAGATGAAGTGCAGATTTCGCGGTGCGCGCGCGGGGTTGGGGGGGGCGCAGCGCCCCCCCCAGCAGCACACCAGATCCAAAGGTGAGCAGTTCGTGCTTGCTTGCTTGCTTGCTTGCTTCCTTCCTTCCTTCCTTGTTTGGTTTCTTCTTTGCAAAGCAAATCGAAAATCAAAAACAAAAAGAGAAAGGAGAACAGCTGCCAAAGCAGAAAAGCAACAAAAGCAAAGAGCAGAAATACAAAAACACAAAAAGCAGAAAAGCAACAAAAGCAAAAAAGCAGCAGAAGCAGAAAAGCAACAAAAGCGGAAAAGCAGCAAAAAAGCAGAATCCGGAAAAAAAAAAATGAAAAAAAAAACGAAGAAAACGCCCCTCCAATTAAAAAACACACAGGTCCGCAGGTAGGCATCCTTGTCTGTAGCACCACGAAGCCCTTGGTCTTGTGTTTAGTCAGGGTCCAATAATGATTTAATGGTGCGTGCCTTGACCCCCTGCCAGATTGAATTGCATATATACTGGATGAATCTAGCAAGTTACACAGTTATATACACACACACACACCAGGTCATTTGAGTCACTCAAACAGGGTTTAAATGCTTACTTGCCGCCCGCTGGAAACTTCACCGAAGGTTGCGGATTGCACCTTGGCTTTGGATCGGAAGCGGGCTCGGCTTGATCGTTCGCCTTCTTTGGCAAGGACGCACGACAGGCAAGCCACGCCCAGGAAAACGACCTCAGCAATGTGTCAAAACCCCAGGCCCTAGGGAAGGTATGCGCTTGATGTTGCTTCTGTCTGAGGGAGACGCCCTGCCAGTGAACGAAACGTAAAGCGGAGTCTTGTCTTCCAACCTTAATGATTAGTGAAAGGGTGAGTGATTTTCAAGGCGAATCTTCAAGCCATCTCTGCCCAAGGGACGCCATGAAGAAGAACGCCAGAGGTATGAATACAAGCGATGCATAGAAGGTTAAGACCTGCCCGTTGATGATCACAAAGAAGGCCACCATAAAAACCAGCCTTGCATGAAGAAGCATGGAGTCAAACTATCGAAAGAAATACGTATATAGTGTATATATATATACATTAATATATAAACTACAGTAATTGAATAAAAAGGGCCAAGTTCGAGTTGCTTTGCAAACATGGTGTAGCGCGAAATGCAACTGAGTGACGAGAACTGCTGGTTCACGTACTCGAGGGGGTTCAAGTTTTGGTAGGGTACGTCATTCTTCTCTAAGACAAGCACATTGTAGGAAAGCCATACGAGAAGACCTCAGCTTTGTGAGATGGTGCAAAATGGAGCACGGTGCAACACTTGATGAATCAAGAACGATTGCCAAGCACTCAAAGGTATGATTCGCTGTTGCTGTTGCCAGGCTGTTTCAACAAGGTACTGATCAGGACCTTGGACCCGACAAGCACCACCTGAACCTGAGGCTACTTGGACGGTCAACGACTGAGAAGCACAAAAGCGTGGAGCGAATTGAACATCTCAGGTGGGGGCACTTCTTCCTTCCCTTCGGAGCCACTGAAGCTTGGAGTTTGCAACCACAGACCAAACAATCAGAATCGCAAATGCTACCTGCAATGGCAAGCTCCAAAGCAATCAACTTCGAAACACTTCTTGGAGAGAACAGCTGCCAGCAATCTGGGGAGCCGAGGCACGAATCGGAAGAACAGGTAAAGTCGAACTCGGAAGTAGCCCCTGACTTTCAGCAGGTCCTTGTTGTCATCTTCACGCCACGCCCTCATTACAAAGTGGATGAGCAAGCATGCTTAGCACGATGCAAGGGAGGTGGTCGCATCTGCAAGTCCCGCCTGATGTGCTCCATGTGAAGGATTTCAGCGAGCGTCACTGCTGAGAAAAGGAACGTAAGGAAGCTCATCCGGACACCAAAGGTCTTGCAGTTCTTGTGGTGCCACCAACCTTCCCCATAGAAATGGAGCAAACAGTGGACCACAACAAAAAATATATATGCATGCTTGCTCTTGCTGCCGGACGTTTTTGCCCACCAGAAACTGAATCTGGAGGGCCTCTATCATTCGACGAAAGCTCTTCGATGGTCTAGTGCTGTTCGTACTATACGGATCAGGTTCTATACTGTACTTCTTGGCTTTCTTAGCTATATGTAACTAGGTGAAGGAATCTACTACAGAACGTCGGGAGGGGGCCTGCCCATGTTCAGAATCCGTTTAAGTTGAGCAAACATGTGTTTTTGCGATAATAGGCCGTCTCTGATGACCAAAACAACAGCAAATAGAAGGTCAAGTTGATCTGATCAGCATGCCACCCTGTGCAAGGAACTGCGACTGTCAAACCACTCCTCCCGTTGTGCTAGGCATCTCACAAGGCCAAGCAACTGAACCATTGTGCCTCCTCTTTAGCACTGAATTCTGTTTCATCCTTGACGGTCGGAGCAGGTCGCAGTCTCCCAATCTATTAAAGCTTAAACCACAGGTGCACAGGCCAAAATGGGCAGGTGACCACAAAAGGGAGAACATAGCAAAAGCACAGCACCCTCTTTCTGCAGAAGAGGCGTCTTCAGCAAGCTGCTCATCCATAATCGAGTCAAATTTGTCGTCTTGGTCAACCTGTTGGTCTCAGGAATTTGAGAGCCCTATCCTTGAAGGCACTCTGGTCCTACCTTCCCAGACCTATATAATTGACTCATTTGTTTGCACATAGCTCTGCCAAAAAATGGAAATGGACGGTTGAATGGCTTGAGAGCCGACTTCAGTTCGCCATGAGGTGCAACAAATCTTATTGGCAAGGTCTAGTACACATCTTGGAAAACCCAAAATGATCCTCCACAGTGGCTCCGGTGATCATCTGCAGGACAGACTGCCTTCCAGAAAAGGTTGGCCAGCTAAGTCTAGGAGCAATGGAACTTCCACTGGTTGAACTTCTAACCACGGAAACTAAGTGACGACGCCGTTTGGCAATGACAAAGTCACACACGTTGCAAGTCACCCTGTCGAAGGAAAACTGAAGTGTCATGCCTCTTTCCACCCGATGTGTCCTCGATCAGAATAGATTGAATAGATGCATTAAACTTAAGTCTCTTTCATGGGGGTGCTTTGGACAATACAGACTCGGAGAATCTTGCTTTCATGTTGCTCCTCTTCTCTACAAGTCTGTGCAAAGCGACACCAAGCTGGTCGCACCCTCCTCTGCTGGCTGCGCCCCTTCTCTAGTCTTCAGCACCTTGTTCCAAACCAGCCAACTCGAAGAACTATATATAAATACTTCATTTTATCAAAGACTTGCTTGCAAGCGCAAGCTCTGTTGAGCAAAGTTCGGCAAAGGCACCCATGTTTGGACATCTCCTTTGCCCTTCATGGTCACAATGCCATTGTTTGGCCTTGTGCTATTGTCTACCACCTGGTCAAGGCAAACTGTCATGAGAAACAATTACAGGTTCATGAAGAGCCGCCATGCCAGGCCATGCCATGTTGTTCTCTCGAAGCTGCGCCTGATCGTCGCTGACCTTTGACTCAAGCAAATTATGCAACAAGAGCAAGCAGGGGCCGATGATCGATGATTGCGCAAGATTGCCAAGACACGTATTCCTTCGTCTCTTTCCCGAATTGAACAGTTCCAGGCGCA